GCGTTGAGTCGGATCATGCACTAGTTCTGCTACGCTTCGCTCTTCGACTAGTTGGTCATCGGCAGAAATCGCCTCCTCAATTAGCTCACCATCGTCTGCGCGATCCAGCTGTCCGCGCACGTTATGAAGAGAAGCTGGGACAGGAGCTAGGAAAACCGCGACATAGTGGAGTAGACGAACAGTGGGATCAGATTAGATTTGCGATGCACTCGGCTGCAAACTNGGTTGGCGGTTTCCATGTCAGACGGTGTCGTTTCTTGTGCGAGAAGTTCGTGTTTGACAGGACCAATCCGTGGTCCGTGCAGAGTTGAAGTAGGCGATCTCAGTTGTCCGTTCGCTTGGCTGGAATTGCATGCGGTCCACAAAGAAGCCTTTCGGATTCGTCCAGGGATCGCACTTGAGCATTGAAGCGACTACCACGATTTCAGTTGATCGAGCACTTCGGAGCAGTTGGGAGAGACCCTTGTAGAATTCATCCTTGATTTCCGGTGTACTGCAACCGGCCGGTGTATAAACCAATACAACGAATAAGCACCGACGCTTCGTTCTGTAGCTGTTGACCCGTGCTGGAATATTGAGGCGTACGGTGCACAGTCGGCTGTTCACCGGGATCCAATTGTTCTGTAGCTGTTTGACCCGTGCTGGAACGTTGAGGCGTACGGCGCACAGTCGACTACTGACTGCAATCCAATCAAGAAGCGAGAGCTCAGCCTTGGCACTTAGCGAAATCCCGAAACCAGGAACACCGCGAGCTTGGGATAACAAATCGCCTGACACACGGAGGGTGAAGCAAGGGGATGAGGTTGGATCTGGAGAACGCAAGGAGATGATTGAAGTACAGTCTTGTGTGCGTGTTTCGGAGACCCAGCATGGATCTAAATTAAAGGTTTCAAGGGTCCTAGCTAAGGCAGCTTGTTGACCAATGTGCTAGTGTTCGGACATTGAACGCGGCTAAGTGAAAAGGAAATTTTTGCTTCAAAAACCCCATAACTTCTGATTGTTTGGTCTCACTGGTACAACGCTGGGTGATATCCGATGGGCCTCGGGATTGAGGGGGAGAACTAGATATATCGGATTTTCCAAATGGGTGTATAAAACTTAGGGGACTGCATATTTCGCGGTTGCCTACAACGACCAAGGGGTTTTTCTTCGGGAACTCTTACCGGAGCACTTGACTCGAAAGTCTCACCCACAAGACAGTGGGGCGCAAATCCAGCGCTGGGGCGTGAACGGAGCACCCATGTGGGAGCTTCCGGACACCTGTTACGCAAAACCTTTGAATTTCGATTAATTGTGTTCGCTGCTGCGTTGATTGTCGGTCCGCTTTTCGGGATCGGCAATTAGCCTCAGACACTATATGAGATAGGCGGAACGTGGAGTGGACAGCGCCTTTTCGCTGGGGTTGCCCAGCTTGGGTGGGTGGCAGCTGTTTAATGAAGTATGAAGACTTCTCCCACCGTCGCGAGGAAGCCCCAGGTACCCCGCTCCCACGTCCATCCAGCGGGAGATTTTTGACTGGTAAACTGCCCCTCAGCGTGTTTATTTACTGCAGTGGTTTCTCCAGGGGCTGGTGTGGATAAAGGAAGGAATCCAGGAGGTGCTCAAGAAAGCTGACTGACTTGGAATGTATGGACTGGGTGGTAAAAATAAATCCTTAAGGCAAACGGATCCGTTCTGTGACTTAAACAGTGTGGAGGTAATGCTAAAGTGAAAAAGAACGATAAGCGGGCATAGATACTGTCCCGAAATAGACGGACAGCAGAATGAACAAGAGACAGCGTACCTGGAACGCACCGACCATGGAGCCTCGTGTCATCCAGCCCAAATCGCCACCCGATCGCGCTTTATCTTCACTGTAGGCTTCCGCAACCTGGTTGAAACGTTTCCCGTTGCGCAGCTGTTCCAATGCCTCGAGGCATTTACTTTGTTTTTCACAGAGGATGTGTCGTACCTATTGAAAGCGAGAGAAATCGATAGAACTTCGAATATATTGAGCTACCCCCTGTGATTTGTAATCGATCGATTCAATTCAAATAGACTTGAAAGTTGGAAATGGTGGAAACAAGGTGCATTTATCGTTTTCCGTGGAAAAACATCGGTATAATATGGCAAGTTTGAACGTTTATTTCATAACTAACAATAAAACGAAGTGCGTTTTGCGGAAAGCGGACGAAATGTGCATCAAACACCTGGAAAACAGAGACAATGCGCAGGCGTGTCACCTATGATGTGAGTAACAACACTAAAGTATGTGAAAATCGTTCTCCCTTTGTCCAATTCAGCAACACGATAAAACATATGTGGACGGAAATGATGTCGGCCACCAATTTCGTGTCCTCATTCAGCTGTCACCGCACATTTCACACAGAACGGGTAGATATACGACTTGTACTCATCTTTTAGAATCTGGTGGTGGACAAGTGAGTTGCATGACTTGGTTTGGTTACGGGGTAAGGTAAAACTAGATATTAAAACCTTATACTAAGTTATGAAACTGGACAGTTTAAAGCAGAATGGTGAATGTAGGTAGCGGTGGAGCAGAGAGGGAAGGACAAATCACAGAATACCAAATTTTTAGCCCACAAGTCTTACCACATGAATTAAACAGACTGAGCCATGGTTTGCCACATAACGTCTTTCCTCTCAAATTAATTCAAAGGTACAGCAACTAAATCTCGAATCGCACAAAAATGGCAACTCCATTCACCTAACACGTGCCACGAAACGGAGGTACAAGGCCTGGTGACTTTTCAAAGTAAATTTTTTAAATTTTATCCTAAGTAATCTGGATCGAGATGTTTCGGTTACCTCCAATTGACTTTCAGCTGAGGTTACACGACGAATTCTCAAAAGTGGATAAGTGGATAAAGCTGAACACAAAAGGGATCATATCGCTGTGTGGTGACATTTAGCAAACAAATTACAATGTAATCTCCACATAGATTGAGTAATATCCATCTCGATTGACAAAATCCAGCGGAAACAGGACACTGATGCAAGGATAAAACCAGTTAGCAATTTCATCCAAAATGATCGGCTGTTTCAGGGTCGCTAATTGGATCAAATTTCAACGAGCAGGCAAACGGGCGAGACAAATGCTCATTGGGGCAACATGAGAATTGGTCTGTTTTAAATGAAACAGACATATATATCCCTCCTGTGGGACAACTCTAATGATATACGGAAGAATAACACAAGAAGAAGAATAACAGCCGTAAAATCCGCCTTCCATACTCAGAACATAAGTTTCGGTCATTCCACTAGCAAGTCGTTACAGTGAAACTTGCGATTAGAAGTTGTTATACGGTGACAAGAGAAATGATATGTAATGAAGTATATCGTGAGAGGAACTTTATGTGAACATCTGGCGTGAATAAGGTGTTCAAACTGAGTGATGGACCTTTAATGCAAAGAAGAATAAATGCAACAGTAGGACGGTAAACGAATCAGGACGCCACTCGTTCAGTGTCATTGACTGACCTTGACTGCGGTCCCGGCCTTGGAAACCTTTCCACCTCCACCGCTAGCGCCAGCAGAATCACTACCTTTGGCGTTTTCTTTGCCACCCCCACTGGCACCAGTTTTCTTGGTCCCACCCTTACCAGAATCTGCTTTCCCGCCTTTGGCACCTTTAGGCATTAGTCTGTACGAGAGAACGAAAGTAGTAAAAAAGACGAAAGTGAAGAATTGAAGTTGCTTTCGAGCTTGGGGAGAAACATGTGAATCTCGGGTGTACGATAATGTCCATATAATTAATCCTAAACGAAATTACACACACTTAACTGACAGAATAGCCGACTGATGAAAACTGAAAATGGAGATACAATTTTCTGTCTCTCGGAGTAAAACGTTAGAGTACTCAAACATACATCTTTGGTCCATACGATTCCATTCAACATTTCGGGAATTCCGAAATGCACATATGCGTGAAGAATTTAGTGCATGCCGCAAGATCAGTGTAGGTGTGTCATGCAGAGATGTCCGCTTGACTTAGAAGAAAAAGGCATGCTAGGTTTGACGTGGTAGTCAAACGACTTAGGTAGAGGTAAAAGGGTGTTTCGGATTGCACCTTGTTATCACCACCCATCTTCGGTGATAGAGCCCTTTTAGCGTTCGGCTGGATACCACACCGAGGATATTAAGGTCCCAGTGGATTCGCAACTACAAGCCCCAAAGCCCAGATTTCTGGTTCCCATAGGTGGATAGTAGTAGACTCTCATAAAGACTGGTTCCATATCTTCCACGGTTCATCACACTATGAATAACCAACACAGTGAAAAGCCCGAACAAGCGATTGCATAAAACTGGACAGAAAATTCGATTGCTTCTTTGTTGGGGTTAAACAATGAATTGCATGTGGCACGATAGCCAGACAGAGTTTATTCTCCAACTATCCACAGGTTGTTGATCTGATGATTGCATTAAATAGTGAAAACAGCGCTTCGATGGGCGTCCGTTAAAATATTCGGCATAGTAATAAAATGAAAAATTTCACCCACGGCTTAGATTGGTAATTGTCAAATGCTATTTTTTGGGTATAGCAGCAATCGATGAAGTTAGCTACATTGTATTTCTCTGTACAACGATGATTTTGATATGCGGGAAACCGCAATCGTCATACTCCCATCAGGTGATGGTGGTGCTATCACCGGCTTGCTTAGGACGCTATGATCCGAGGTTCAAAACCCACCGCGGACCACTGCCACCCAACTTTGGTGGTAGACAGCTTTGCAGTCATCCGGTTCACTACCACACCTAACCCAGCGGGGCTGTCGTTCGCCACTCCAAGTCCCGGGGCTTCGGTTGCCAGTCTCCATCAGTCAACAGCAAGCCTTCGCGATTATAGGAATCTCGCCGTCTGCTGTTTATCACACAAAAAGGTAAACTGATCTACCCAACCATTCTCACCGTATCCTTATTTCAACATTCTGCACCTTTTATCGCTGTTCGATACATCAAAACATTTATCTCTCCTTCGCAGCCGACATTGGTAGATTTTGCAATAGCGCAATTTCGAGGCTCCAATTGGCTGTCCTAAACTGCACCGCAGGATCGCGCGCAACTCTAAGCCTATGAGATATTGAAGGGGAAGTATAACGATCAATGGTATTATAGACTGTATGAGGGGATTCGACAGTATATTCACCAGCGGTTTA